TCCCTTTAAATATGAAAAGCAAAAGCAGAGTAGGTTTCTGGGCACTCACCCAGATCCCACCACCTCCCACCAGCAGAAGGACCAGCTAACTCCTAAACTCCCCTGGCCCTTAAGACAAAGGTGTGTGCCCTGTGTGCTTTCCTTGAGCCCTGATGTCCCTGCATCCACTGGCACTGATTGGTGGGTCTGGCCTGAGGCTGGAACAGTCCAGCCCCTCTTTATGGTTCAATCAGGGCCTTTGGGCCAATTCACAGACAGCGGGAAGCTCTGGAAACCGAATCACTGCATGGAAGCACCCACAGGGCTCTCAGCTCTCAGGGCAGCTCCTGGTTCCTCCCGGGTGCACCCTCAGACCACATCCCACCCACCATGATAGGACCTGCCAGTCCCCACAGGTGGTGGTTACTCAGACCTGGAGGCCCTTTCCCATGAGGCGGCCCTGATCCCAGCACCTGCCTCCAACGTCCGGAGGGTTACTGAGGCATATGGTTTGGTCACTTATCACTTTGAGTGCCTGGACCTTGTGCCAGAGAGGCCATGCTGAACAAGGAGGGAATCAGGAGTCTGAGGATGAGGGAACCTGCAGTGAGAGCGGGAGGTGGAGCCAGGGTGCTGGCATCTAAGATAACCCCTAATGACAGATGGGAAGGTCAGTCCTTGTGCCCAGGCAGGGAATCTGAACAGAAGCCTCATTCCAGCGACAATCTCAGTGAGGATGAGACAGAAGCCAGAACGATACCCAGCTCTGCCTGTCTGCACCCTCACATTGCTTCACAGACACCATTAAGTAAATGATGGAACCCACACAATTAAAGCCTGGCACCTGCCCTCTAATCCTACCACCTGTGACATCTGTGGTCAGAGCATATTCCCTGGAGACCGGGGCCTGGTGTCAGCATGGGAGGAAGCCAGCAAGTGCCCTTGTTTGTCCAAAAAATGGAGAGCAGGGGTCTCCTAACAGGGAGGGATCAGACCCCCATTCATTCCTCCAAAATCACAGCCCTCCCCGCCCCTACCTTGTGAGTAACATCTCATCTCCCCAGGGTGGGTCTTGGTGACAGCCTGGGTCCTTCCTCTTCTCAGTGACACCTGACCTGGCACAAACTCTGGACTCTGGACCCAGGTGGAGTTACTACCACAGAAGGAAAAAGCCCACCTTCACCTCAAAGGAAGTCAGGGGGAAAATCCCTGTTCCCAAAGGCCCTGATCTGTGGGGTCACCTGGCTGTGTCTCTGAAAACATCTCACCAGCCCATGGTGTCTGGGGGAACTTCCCATGCAGGATGGGTCAGGAGAACCCAGGATCTGGGGTGCTTCCACCTCAGAGGGGCTGAGGGTCCCAGGGGGGCCTCCGATCCCTAAGAGAGGGACCCTCAGGGTCCTCTGCTGAGTCTTCACGTGGACCTGCTCCAGATCCTGGGCCCAATGGGGAGGCCTAGAGCAGATGACAGTCAGGGGCACAGTGCTGGATGCAGTGCCCAGTGCTGTGATGGGGACACACAGGGCATCCTGGGAATCAGAGCCCCAGGGCAGCACCCTCTCCTGGAAGCCCCACAGGAGCCCTCACCAGGCCCTTCCTTGAAACCTCAGGGACAGGGAGCTCCTCCTGGGTGGGTAGTTCTCCTGACACTGGATCCGGAGTCCTCTGGACAACCACCACCCTCTCCCTGTGCTCACCCTGTCCTGGGTGAAGTTGGGCAGCCTGGGGACCCACAGTGACTGGCCACTCAGCCTGGAGGTCTGAGCCCACCCCTGCCCAGGGCTCAGAGTCAGCATCCCTGATGCAACCACCGGTCCCCTTATGCCTCCAGGGGCGACACTGGGACACACAGACAACAGGAAATTAACATAGGAAACTGGCTTTAATGAAGGAGATGGGAAAGGAGCCTGATTTCCATATCACAGACCCTTCTGGGCCCCTCCCATGTGTCCACTTTGTCCCACAGTCTCCTTCTAAGAGACTAGGAGCACCTGCTCTCAGTGAGAGTGGGGACCTTGTGCAGCTCCCCACTCCCTGCCTTGTACCACCATGGGGAAGGCAGGGTGACCACATGCAAGTTCCTCAGGCAGAGGACAGAGGCTGCCCCAAGGGTCAGGGAGCACATGGACCGGCTTAGCCAACAGACAAGGAGAGGGAAGATTTCCCTAAAATCATGGCCCTCAAGAGCCAGGGAGCTCACAACCACATGACCTCCCACCACAGTCCCCTCTTCTCACCACAGTCCCATCCTCCCAGGACACGCAGACACCCCCCCGACACACACACACACACACACACATTGAAGGTCCTACCAACACTCCTGGTCCTGGGACTCTGTCCCTGGAAGCCTAAAACAGGCTGGTGACACCCAAAGACAGAAGGTGGACCCCTCACCAGTCATCACTCAAACGACTCCTTCTCACCCCAGAGTCACCTCTATGACCTTCCTGCTGGGAGGAAATCCAACCTTCCCAGCAGTTTGAGAACATGGGGAAGGTGTGGTGCCCAGCTGGATTTCTGTGTCACACAAATAAATAATCCCCTGGGTTTGCGGATCCCTGGGGCTCTCTGTGTGGTGCTGACAGACCAATGGCCAGGACACAGCACAGGCCAAGGGTGGGGTTAAGTGGGTAGGTTGTCCTTTTAGGGAGAAGTGTCCCCCATCAACCTTGCCATTGAAAGTGCTCTGCAGGCCAATATGATCAGCATATCCTGACAGCTTGTTAGATGGAGACTGCCGGGTCCACCAAACATCTCCTGAGTCAAAATCTGCAGACCCTCCCTGTGCACAGGAGAGAGGGAGGGGCTTCCCCATCTTCACATCACAGGGTCTCATTCTGGCTGGGCATCCACCTGGCTGAGCAGCTGCCAAAACAGCATTTCTAAGGTGTCACCTGGGCATTGAAATCTTTACAAAGTTCCATAGATGATACCATACACAATGGGGTGGCATCCCTATGACCAGAATTCCTGATGTCACCCCAGGTTTCTGCTCTGAAGGTAAGAGCCAAATGGGGATGAGAGAAGGTGTTGGGAGGCTACTGTGCACTCCACACAGAGATCTGGGAGACGCCCTGGATACATACACCCCAAGCTTCTGCTTGTCCACCCAAATGGCACCAGGTGTTAACCTGCAGAGTTAGGCCCTCAGTTCAGCAACCTCGGTACTTGAGTTCAGCTAAGTGAAGAATTCAGAGTCAAGAACTCAAATTATAAGAGAGAGTGTATTTAGAAAGTCACAGAGGTAGAAGTGAGCTGTAGAAGAAATGGGCTCAGGAAACCTGTTACAGTAGCAAAAGAAGGACCCTTGGAGCTTAGGAGAAAGAAAACAAAGATAAGTGCCTTGAGGAAAGAAAGGGGTAGGGAAAGGCACTGATGTGCTCCAGAGAGGAAGAGCTGCAATGCATCCTACTTCTTTTTTTTGTGGAGGCGGGGAGGTGGAGGGGGGCTTTCTTTCACTTTATTAGTACCTATAAAATAAAAACAATTTATGAAAATATTTCCCTTCTCAAGATACAGAAACTATAATCTTTGCAAAAAATACACACCCATAATTGTTACAATACATATCCATGTATATACCTTGGACATTATAAAAGTATTTAAGAATCACACCCTATAAAAGTTGGGAGAAGAAACATTTTCTCCAATCTTGGTCATATATTGTGACATTCAAGTACTTAAACTACACTGTTGAAATAAAATGTCTCTAGTTTCCAGGGCCAAAGGGATTTAACTTTCAAGGCCCCATAGGTTCTTTTCTTTGTGCAAGGTCAAGAACCAGGAGACGGATCCCTGAGCGTTAACTTACCTTAGGTAGGTCAAGCAGGGATTACTTTCCATACTTTATCATGGAACTAAGGGGGTCGGAGGAAATAATGGCATGGAACCCATGTCGGGCAGGTCCCTCCCTATCATTCCTATTCATGTAGTGTGGCTCCTACAAGAGGATTTTTAACCCTCAAGCTCTAAAATGCTGATTCTGTACTAGTAATTATCTAAGATACTTACAAAATGATGTTTTTGCAAGTCTAAACTCCTATATTGTGAATTAGGATAAAGTTATGAAAGTGTGACTCCCCTAAATAGACTTCATTTAGGATTTGTCAGGTGGGGAGCATTGGGAACAATCTGTAAACCAAAAATTCCCTCTTGGAACTATAGGAGAAGATCCTTTCTTGGTAAGGCATGAGCCTCAGAAGCCAAGTTTCTTCTTACTTTGGAAGAAGGTCCTACTTCTTGAGGGCAGTTATCTGGAGGTTTCAGGAGAGGATCCCAATAAAATATTCATCAGCTTTCCAGGTGTGTCCTTTAGGGTCGAAGGTCATTAGTCAATGCAGTAGATCCTGATGTCATCTGTGTCCTCACTCATATGGTTTTGCTGCTTTCCTGGGCCTGGAGCTGAAACACAACTGAGGCCTAGTTGTATTTGATGCCAGTCAAGAAGCTCATTGTCCTGGGGGCTTAATGCTGAAGGGCTATTCTTTGGTCCCCTTGTTCATTTCCCCTCTAAGGGCGTCTAACCCACATGGCTAACAACATGCCAGGGGAGGAAAGGTCAGGGGAGGGCCTGAACCACATGACCAGTGATATGAAAGGTCAGAGGGCCTAAACTGCAAAACCAGGGTGTGCTCCGGGAGGAAAGGTTACCCAGGGGGCAAGGTCCCAATCCAGTTTTTCACGTGGCTAGGTACCTGGGGCTTTCCACTCTGGTGACCTCCCCTACTGGCCTATTGTCCTACTCTGCTCAAGCCTAACTGCTTACTACACAAGCAAGGTGTGTGAGTGTGTGTGTGTGTGTGTGTGTGTGTGTGTGTGTGTGTGTATGGGGAGGAGTCACTGCAGAAGAAGGCAGAAGCCTCAGCAGTTACAGGGAAAGCAATTGTAGAGGATAGAAAAGGGGAGGTAGGAATAAGGGGAGGGCAGGGAGGAAGCTGGGTACAGAACCCGCCCCTGGCCCATGTGACCAGGGAAGTGATCTTGGCCCAAGAGGAGATTCAGTGCACAGGGAGGAGGAACAGCACATCCCACCCATCAGGACAGCAGTGCTTGTGAGCATTTCTGGAATCCAAGCTCTTCCCACAGAAGGAGGGACAGAGCAGGCAACAGACACCATGGAGTCCCTCTCAGCCCCTTCCCACAGAGGACTTGTCCCCTGGCAGGGGCTCCTGCTGGCTGGTAAGAGGGGACAACTACCTGGTGGTGGATGGGAGGAGGAGAGGCACAGGCTAGCTGGGGACTCCTGGGGAGCACAGGCTCTCAGAGAAAACAAGGGGTTGGGGCAGGCTTCTGTTTGGACTTGAGAGGAGAAGACAGGGGAGCAGAGTAGGATGGGGGAGGGGACCCGGCAACAGGAAAATGATGAGGAAACCATGAGGGGCAGGAAAACCTCAATGGCTGCCATTTTCCAAGTTACTCATCACTGAGAATTGAATGCTGAAAACTTTTTAAAAAATATATTTGTATTGATTTCAGAGAGGAAGGGACAGGAGAGAAAGAGAGAGAGAGAGAGAGAGAGAGAGAGAGAGAGAGAGAGAGAGAGAGAGAGAAACATCAATGATGAGAGAGAATCACTGATTGACTGCCTCCTGCTCGCTCCCCACTGGGGATTGAGCCCACAGCCCTGACATGTGCCCTTGACCGGAATTGAAACTGAGACCTTCAGTCCATAAGTCGATGCTCTATTCACTGAGCAAAACTGGTTAGGGTTGAAAACTTTTGATAATAACAATTTATGTGAGGAGATAGGAAATTTAACCAGGGGCATTAAACATTGTCCTTACTACCAAGCTCAGAAAAGGAGGAGGCCCAGGACCCTGCAACACTCACTCATTCACCACAGGTACTTACAGCCTGTTGGAGGCACTGGGGTGCAACAAGATCAGACAAGTCCCTGCCGCCATGAAGCTCATGTCCTATGGAGAGGAGGCAGACAAGAAAAGATCTAGATGTGATGTCAGGTACCCCCCAGTGCCATGCAGGAAACAGAGCAGAGACAGGTCAGAAAGTGAAGACACAGGTCTTTAGAGCAGATGATTAGCAAAGGTATCTCCTAAGGACACCCTTGAGTGTCAGCAGGGGTCTGAGGGCAGACACCTGGGTAACAGTATTCAAAAGAGAGGAAATAAGAGCAGAGGTGCTGAAGTATAACTGGCCATGCTGCTGACCTTGACCACAGGACACACACACACACACACACACACACACACACACACACACACACCAAAGCTGAAAGATGAAGAGACCAGCTGAAGACTCAAAGCATCATCTCTCCTTCCCAATACATAGCTCCAAATCTTGATCAATTTCTCTCTTCCCTCCTAGCCTCACTCTTAACCTTCTGGAGCCTGCCCACCACTGCCCAGCTCACTATTGAATCAGTGCCGCCCAATGCTGCCGAAGGAAAGGATGTGCTTCTCCGTGTCCACAACCTGCCTGGGAATCTTGGAGGCTATGCCTTGGTACAAAGGAGAAATAGTGGACAGCAACCATAAAATTGTATCATATGTAATAGACACTCAAAAAATTACCTACGGACCTGCATACAGTGATCGAGAAAAAATATATCCCAATGGATCCCTGCTGTTTCAGAACGTCACCCGGAAGGACACAGGATACTATATCCTACTAGCCATAGACAAAAATTTTCAGAGCAGACCAGTAACTGGACAGCTCCATGTATACCGTGAGTGATTGCTCTCTGACCTCTGGGTTTGGGTGGGTGAACTCTACTTCACACACAGGACTGACAGCCCTGGACTCTGCCTCGATCCCCCTCTGCATCATGTACCAGGATGGGTATGAACATTTAGTGCAGGACACACATAGTGTAAACAAACTTCATAAGATTAGAGTTCCCTTCCCAGATCCCAGCCCTGCTGACATTCTCCACAGAGAAAAGTCTGATGGGAGTGACTCAGCAGAGGGAGACTCAGCAGAGTCTCAGTCCAGCCCTTGGGCCCCACCATATGACCATTACACTGAGAAAGACACTGCAGAGCTTGGTTGGGTCCTGTCCTGAGGGGACCCTGAAATCCTCACAGAGAAGCTCAGCCTGGGAACTCCTCCCAGACCCCTGTCCCAGGGCTCCTGACTCCAGGGAACCTGGGGAGCCCTCCTGGAAGGGCTGGGTGGGAGCAGTGGCTCTACTGCTCACCAGCCAGGGCTCAAACGCAAGATCACATCAGGACAGGGACAGCGCCTAGTCCTTCAGCTAAGGCTGTGTCAGGAGAGCACAGATGAACAAAATACCCCGTATCATTAGCTGACTCTTCTGAGGGACTTAGGAGACTCCAGAGGGAGGTCAGTTCTCCAGGAAGGAACAGAGAGAAGATGCTCCTGACAGCTCCTTGTCCAGCAGGGGTCAGGCCAGGAATTCTCCTCATGGAGGCAAATAATGGTAGTGGCCATTTAAGTCAGTGTCTCCTCTATACTGGGCTTGAGGTCAAGTATTCAGGGATGTTTTAAGGTCAATTCACAGACAACATGGTAATCCAGAGTCCATTTACCATTTCTTCTGTTTTTATTCAGGGGAAACGGAGGCACAGTGTGATACAGTCACTGAATCAGGCTCACACAGACACAGCAAGGTCCTTGCACAGACACAGCAAGGTCCTTGCACAGCCACAACCCCATCCTCTCCTCCACCACGAGGGTCTTAGGTGTCTGTGGATCCTGAGAGCAGCCATTGGTTCAGTGCTTGTTCTTAGCAGTCCCCAGCTCAAGGTAGATTTTTGGGTCTGGTGATTAAGCAAATGGAGAATTAATTTTTACTCTAGAATCAAATTACCTACAATAACATTCAGAGTCACTGCAGGGAATGCCCAGGCCTTCCCCTCAGGTTACTGATCCACACCTACCTCCAATGGACTTGAAACCACTTATTTGTTTCCTGATGTGTTGGCATCACTCCCACTAGCTATGAAGGAAAGGACTTCGCCTTCTCACTCTCCACCCTACACCTGCTACCAGCTCAGGGACCAGCACTCACTTGCTCTCCCATGAAGGAGGGAAAGAATGATGGTGAATAATGACAGAATGAATGAATGAATGAATGATGCATAATTGCTACAGAGACTGGAACCTGGATGCAGAGTCCCAAAAGGTTTTAGCCACACCTGTTCCTACAGGTGCTGAGAACCATGTCCATCCCTCTGACCACCTGTCCCTGAAGCCACCTCAAGAGCCAAGTCCCTTGGTGACTATGGGGCTGTTCCACTGTGGGAAGGTTTTCCAGGCTGCACTGCTCCTGCCCTGGGGCAGCTGTGGGCTCTTGGTCCCTGGGGTCTTTGAAGTCACTCATAACCTCCACTGCCCACCAAGGACATTCTGCCTCTATCTGCTCCTTCCATGTCCCTTATCTGCCTCCTCCTTCACTCCAGACACACTGCCCTGCTCTGCTCTGCTTCCCCCACTGTGCAGATTGTCCTGCTAACATCTCTGTCCAGGCCTACCCTCCCGGGCAATAGGAAAGGACACAGAAATCAGTGGGAGCAGGAGCCCCGGCTTCATCCTGATCCAGTTTCCCAGGTCACCAGGAGAAAGAGCATCTGCTGGGTCCCCATCCAGGGCTCCTTACCCCCCTGAACCCAACGAGAGGAACAGGCCACATGACAGGGGCATGTAAACCATTGACTTACTCTCTACATGACTCAACCAGGGAGTCAAAGGCAGAAGGACAGAACTCAGTCCCCAAAGCTCAGGGGCTCACTTCACCCCTGACTCGTGAGTCACATCCTCGTCCTGGTGTGAGGCTCCCATTCCTCCCACTGGCTCCCGAGACCTTTCCAAGGTGGACCTGGTGACCCTGCATCATCTGACTGGTTCACTGCCTGTTTCACAAACCTGTGTCCTCATAAAGACACCTTGACCACAGGTTGGGATCCTCTCAGACTGTGAGATCAACCAGCCACTCTTCTTTCTCTTAGACGCTGCCCATTTGAATGAATTTGACTAAACTCCAGTTGTTTCCTGAGTTAAAAGGAAAAGGAAGCACACATGCCACAGGCCCATGTGGAGGCTCCTCCCCATCTGCCTACTGTCCATAAAAACAGGGAGAGACCTTCTTCCTAACTTTACAAACATGGCACATGTTTTTTCTACAAGTTGGGTGTCATCCCTCCCTTTATAGAGCAGAGACACCTGGACTGGCACCCTGGTCACTTCTGTTCTCTTAGCAGAACTCACCTTCTCTCTATCCCAGGGTGTCCCTCATTTCAAACCCACTGTGACATCTCCCTTTGGTCACAGTGTGACCTGATCAGACGGCAAAACTTGGTTCTATGACCTTCGTGCTCTCTAGACAGAAATTTCTACAAAAACTGGCTTTAGATCAGTAATGGCGAACCTTTTGAGCTCGGCGTGTTAGCATTTTGAAAAACCCTAACTTAACTCTGGTGCTGTGTCACATATAGAAATTTTTTGATATTTGCAACCATAGTAAAACAAAGACTTATATTTTTGATATTTATTTTATACTAGAGGCCCAGTGCACAAAAATTTGTGCACTCGGGGGTAAGGGTCCCTCAGCCTGGCCTGTGCCCTCTCGCAGTCTGGGACAACTCGGGGGTGACCACTTGCTGGCTTAGGCCTGCTTCCCAGGGTATTGGGCCTAAGATGGCAATCAGACATCCCTCTGGCAGCCTGGCAGACCTTGGGGAATGCCCACATGTCAGCAGGGAGCAGACCTAAGCTGCAGTCAAACATCCTTAGCACTGATGAGGAGGCAGGAGAGGCTCCCACCACCACCGCTGTACTGGCAGCCATCAGCCTGGCTTGTGACTGAGCAGAGCTCCCCATGTGGGAGCGCCCTGACCACCAGAGGGCAGCTCCTGCATTGAGGGTCTGCCCCCTGGTGGTCAGTGTGTGTCATAGTGACCAGTCATTCCCAGTCTTTCTGCTGTTAGGGTCAGTTTACATATTACCCTTTTACTATATAGGATAGAGACCTGGTGCACGGGTGAGGGCGGGCTGGTTTGCCCTGAAGGGTGTCCCAGATCAGGGTGCAGGTCCCACTTGGGTGCCTGGACAGCCTCAGTGAGGGGCTGATGGCTGTTTGCAGCTGGTCGCATCCCCTTCAGAGTGGGGGTCCTCACTGGGGTGCCTGGCCAGCCTGTATGAGGGGATGATGGCTGTTTGCAGCTGGTCACACCCCCTTCAGGTTGGGGGTCCCCACTGGGGTGCCTGCCAGTCTGGGTGAGGGGCTGAGGGCCGTTTCAGGCTGGCGGGCGACTGAAGCTCCCAACCTCTCCTTTTTTTCTTTTATTCTGGGATTTATTTACCTTCTATGGCTGTCACTGGAGCTGAGAGCCGGCTTTAGCTCTGAGGCTGGCTCCAGCTTGAGGCCTCGGCTACTGAAAGCAGGAATCTAGGGTTTGTTTGGGTTCTATAATTACAACATTGTTTCGGTCCTGCTCGCTCCAGCTCTGGTGACTGAAAGCAGGTATCTGGGTTTTGTTTAGCTTCTATAATTGCAACATTGTTTCTTAGAGTGCAGCTCAGAGGCCGGCAAGGCAGGTGGGGAACCTTGGCTTCCTCCATCACTGGAGCAAGCAAGCCTTCTGTTTGCTTCAGCTGCCTGGCTGCCAGCCGCCATCTTGGTTGGCAGTTAATTTGCATATCGCCCTGACTAGCCAATGGGAAGCCTGTCAGAGGTACGGTTAATTACCATGTTTGTCTATTATTAGATAGGATATTTAAATGCCATTTAACAAAGAAAAATCAACCAAAAAGATGAGTTCGCATGTCACCTCTAACACGTGTGTCATAGGTTCACCATCACTGCATTAGATATTTGGGGCATGAGTGATTTTCACATATTCTTTCACAGTTTAACTCAAAATCTATCTCATAACTGCCAAACACAAATTGTCCATGAGGGTCGTATTTTGAGCAAGTTCATGCTCCCCCACCTCCACAAGCCCCCCTTCTGTACGTGCTATTGTCTGGGTGTTGAGGAAGGATCCCTGCCCTCTGCAGTGGCAGAAAGGACATTACAGACCAAGGGCAGAGAGATGGCTCTGCTGCCACTGCCAGCCACTCCCACCGTCCCTCACTCTTTTCTAAATCATTCCTGGACTCTGATCTGCCCTTTCTGGGGTCACTGTCCCATGTCAGTCACCAGTGAACTCCTGGGCAGACAGCCACACCTCGTGGCCCTGCAGCCTGGGTACTAAACTCACCGCCAGACTTACTTCTGGTCTCCCATGTAATTTTTCTGCTCTGACACCCAGTTCAGGACCTCACTACCCAGTCCTCTCAGGGTTTAAGGACTGTGGGGTGGCCCATCATTACTCATCTCTAGGTTAACCCTGGAATGTGAGGCTTCAGTGGAAACACATCTCAACCAGCAATGTAGGTCTGTGTTGCTGGAAGGGACTCAGCTCCTGCACGTTCCAGGTGAGACGCCAACATCAGCCAGACAGTCAGCTGGTCAGTGAGGAACCAGGACAGGTGCCAGGTGGTCTCTGACTCCCGGTCCTGCATCTCTCTGTGACCAAACCCTGATAGTTGTCTGACACTTGATAAAGTTTGTGCTTTTTTTCCCAGACATAGAGCAGGCACCTTGCAATCAATCTCTGAGCGCTCAGTTCCTCATGCATTTGTTTGTCTTACGATGCACAGACCTGCCTTATTTCTTGAAGAACTCAAGTTAGCTGAGAGGCACCAATTCTGATTGAAGAAGACTTTGGAGGACTCAATGGGCAATATTCTCTCTGTTTTCTGCACAGCGGAGTTACCCAAACCCAGCATCACAAGCAACATCTCCAACCCCGAGGAGTACAAGGACCCTGTCATGTTAACGTGTGAACCTCAGATTCAGAACATCGCCTACCTGTGGTTGGTCAGCAGTCAGAAGCTCCAGGCCAGTGCCAGGCTGCAGTTGTCCAAGGACAACAGGACTCTCACTTTACTCCCTGTCACAAGGAATGATATGGGACCCTATGAGTGTGAAACCCGGAACCCCGTGAGTGCTGGCCGCAGTGACCCATTCATCCTGAATGTTCTCTGTGAGTAACTTTTGTCCCTGCCTGGGCCAGGATCCCCACCAGAATCCACACTGCCAGAGGCCAGGCTACATCCATCCTTCTCAGGTCCATGTACACAGACCCCCACACTGAACATCCAGGATGGCCATGTCTTCCTGACCCAGGCACATCTGGGCAGGCTCGGCCTTAAGCCAAGACTGGGAGGGGATGGGATAGTCTTATTTGGAATGGCTCAGGGTTAACAAGCTTCCATGGAACAAACAGGTTAATGTTTCAGACTCAGGATCAGTGAACACAGGGGGCTATGGGTGGGACTTTTTAAAACAAGGCTGTGACCCAGCTCAGAGGGAGAGTGTGGCCCTTGCACAGACCAGGACCTTCCCCTTCCCTTTCCCTCTGATTACATCATGTGTGGCTTTGTTCTCTTTGCTCCAGATGGCCCGGATGTCCCCCTCATTTCACCCTCGGACTCCCATTATCTACCAGGGGCAAACCTCAGTCTCTTCTGTCTCTCGACTTCTAACCCACCTGCACAGTATTCTTGGCTTGTCAATGGGAGGCCCCAGCAACCCACACAGGAGCTCTTTATCCCCAACATCACTGCACATGACAGTGGATCCTATACCTGCCTCGCCCACAACTCTGTCACTGGCCTTAATAGGACCACGGTCAAGACTATCACAGTCTCTGGTAAGTGCCTACTGGACCATCGGCACCAGGCTGTGGGGTGCAGGTCTGTCTGGTTTTCAGAACAGAGCCTAGAGGCTTTTGTCTCCCACGCAGTGGCCATGGACACAAGCAAATCACAAAATCTTCCCTTGAACCCTCCCACTACACCTCTGTAGACTCTCCTCCCTTGCTATTCTAATCTCTCATGGCAGAGCCAGGGTCCAGCCTAGGAACGAGAGGACGGGGTTCTCTCAGCCCCAGAAAGAGTCAAGTGGTGGATGGAGGGAGCTTTCCACTGGGGAAAACAAGGGTCCTTAAGGTCAAGTTGCTTCTTCTGTCACTAACACTTTCCTTCTGTCACCTCTTGTCTGCTACCTGCTCCATGTGCTACAAGGAACATACAAGGCATTGAACAAGCTCACTTCGTTTCCCCCAAAAACTAAAGGAGGAAACCACCTCTGAGGAGGGGTGAGCAAGACAGACCCCTGCTCCCTGCTCTGCTCCAGGCTCACCTGGTGACTGGCTGCTCTGTGCCGTCTGTGGTGGGACAGGGATTTGTGGTGAAGGTGCATGGGCGGCCTGTCCTCTGACTGGCCAAATCCTGTCACCCATCGACACCATGGCCTCCATCAGACCAGGCTGCATGGAAATGGGGAGAGAGTGAGCCACAAGGGAGACCCCTCTGAGGTGTGTCCTGGCTCTGAAGTCACCAGGTGTACAACACTGTGCAACACGAGCCTATGTGACATTCCTATGGAGAGCAGTGAATGGTGGTGCTTACTTCTCAAGTAGGTAGATTCCTGGGACAATAGGAGCAGTGCCACAAAGTGTGTACTTTACTGGGTAAGCTAAGAGTACCAGCCTGATGTTAAAACTGACTACTTCTCTCTAGGAATTTCCTTCTTTGTGATATTCAATACACAGGCCAAGAAGTGAAAGTCCTATTCAGACTGAGAAATCCTTTATATTGAAACTTCTCCCAGTCCTAAGGTCATGAAGACTGGCTGGGCTATATTCTCTAATAAATTATTTAACAAAAGGGAAATGCCTTCACCATACCAGAGAGGGGGTGTGATTATTTAAAAAGTCACAGACAACTATGGAATGAGTCACACAAAAGTCAATGGGTGAAAAATGCCACCTGATGATGAAGATGCTGGACATCGGGGGTCTACGGCCCCCGATGCTAATACCTCAGATGTCCAGGGAGAGAGCTCAGGGGTCATCCTGAGGTGATCTGGAGGGATGAGGGAGGTACAGCCCTCTCCTTACAGACTGTCACCTGAACAAAGGTCCTCACCCTGCAGAGGTCAGAGTCCTCCTCTGGTGACTTTTACAGAGATCACTGTGGCCTGTGATTGGCTGACATCTCTGAGAAAGGAGCCCACTCTCAGTCAGTCACCTCCTTTATTTATCCACAGAGCCAGTGGGGAAGCCCTCCATCCGAGCCAGCAATGCCACAGTCACAGAGCATAAGGATGCCGTGGTCCTGACCTGCCTCACCAATGACACTGGGATCTCCATCCGGTGGCTTTTCAAGAACCAGAGACTCCTGCTCACGGACAGGATGAAGCTGTCCCGGGACAACAGCACCCTCACCATAGACCCCGTCAGGAGGGAGGATGCTGGGGATTATCAGTGTGAGGTCTTCAACCCCGTCAGTTCCAGCAAAAGTGACCCTTTCAGGCTAGATGTGCAATGTGAGTGACCCTCAACCTCTCCCACTTACTCTTTGTAAATTTCATGGGCAGGGGGGTGAGATGGAAGAAAGCCTTGAGGAGGTGGGAGCCTCCTTCAGAGCCTATAGAGCACATGGGTACGGACCCCAGAATTAGTCTAATCTCATCATTGTCTCGGTTCTATGAGAATAAGCTGTCTGACCCCGGGGAAGGCTCTCACCCACCTGAGCCTCAGATTCCTCATCTCTAAACTGGAATAATACAGCTGGACCTAAACACCATAGTTAGGCTATTTCTTGTGAGGTTAAGGAGAATAAAGCCCTCAGACAGGGTCATGCTCAGTCAGGACTCAGTCAATGTACCTATTATTATTGTTATTTTTATAAACGCTGTTGTCAGTAGCTGTAAGTCAAGAAGAACTCAGTGAAAATGCCGTTTATCACTCACCAGTACTGTGACCTCCAGCCATTTATTAAGCACCTCCCATCCCTGATTCTGTGTGTGCTCAGGAGGGGTGACACCCCAATCCCTCCTGGGGGTGGAAGGATCAGATGACATGAAGGTAGAGTATTTCCCACCCTGCGGGACCATTGAAAACACTCATCAGCACTGAGTTGACAGGTAAGGTGCCTGCTAAGATTGTCCATAGTGATGGAAAAGAAGAAACAGGGGTAAGAGACAGAATATGTGAGGGAAAGAGGAGTTAAGAGGAAAATTACCAGGACATCGGAATGATGGGTGTGAGAGTGCGTGCAAAATTAGAGCAAATGGAAGGTTTCAAATGTGCAAACCAGAGAATGATGCAACCGCCAGAAGTGGGGTGTCAGGAGGACTGACACTCCCAAACCGCACAGACCAGGTGGCAATTCCTTCCTCCCCCTGATAGGCCGCCCCCTGCAAGGCCCCTCCTGGTTTCCCCTGAGTTGACTTGGACCTTCACCCCACCCTGTCTCCCTTCTCCTTTCAGCAGAACAAAATGACATGGGCTACTCTGTGGGGACCATCATTGGCAGCGTGATCGGGGTCCTCGTCGTGTTGGCTCTGGGGGCCTTGATGGGCTATTTCCTGTACCTCAGGAGGACTAGGAGGTACCATGGCATTTCCTTCACCCTCACCCTAATACTGCCCCCTGACCCAGGCTGACCCCCAGGGGAGCCTAGGCCAGGAGGAAAAAGACCCCTTCCTCAGAGGGTTCTGGGCCCGCTCCGTGTGGCCTCCAGCTTCCCCATGGAGGCCCCTAACTCCCTCCACCCAGTGCCTCCCTCACCAGCTGCTGACCAGGGTGGTTTCCTCAACAACTTCCTCACCTATAAATGAGGCTCGATTAAGGAACTGTGCCCTCAGGACTGTCCTGGTTCTCTCCACACACCTGCAGTGGTGCCGGCAGGTAGTAAGTGCTCAGTAAGGCACCTCCTGTTGCTTATCTAAGTCCACCCTCCCAGGTGAGGGGATGGGCTGCCTCAGGGTCTGAGAGTCATCCTGGCCAAGGCAACACTGCTGAGGGTGGAAGAGCCTGGACAGACTGGGTGAGTCAAATGCCCACATGAAACCAGTTTGGTAACCACAATCCTGATCTGTGAGATGGGAGGCCTGGCCTGGACAGGACAGCCGAGCCTATGGTGTGGTTTTTGCCTCTACTTCAGGTGGATGGAGACAGGACAGGCCACTGTCACAGTGTATCTCTGTAGACCTAAGAGGCGGGTCTGCCCACAGCAGGCACCACACTCATCAAGATGCTACATGAGGCTGGCACTGCTGCCCCCTGCAGCCTTGTCCTTTCCACTAAGTCAGACCCTCAGGGTGGATTCCTGTCCTTGGTCCTCAGTCCCTTCCCTGGTAACTCCTCCCAGACCCCCATCTGCCTGTGGGTCCTTCCCCTGTGGGCCCAAGTCAGCTGTGGATCCTTAACACCTTGCCTCAGTTCCTCACTCCTGGGCCCGTCCCCCCTAAACAGTGGAGAGAGGCCTCCACCCTCTGCTGAGAAAGGAGACCCTCCTTGCCCCCTGTTGTGACACCAAAGCTCCCCTGCACCCCTCACAAGTAAGTCTGACCTTTCCCAGGGCCAGTGACCCGCATGGCCTCCGAGAGCACCCACCTCCAGCAGCCACCCCTGGTGAGTGTCTGTTTACCCTGGAACCCCTGGGCCTGCCCCACAGTGTCCACCCCTGCCCTGGTCCCTCAGGATCTGACCCTTCCCTGGCCTTCAAGAGGGATTCTCATCAGCACTCTGCACAGGGGACCCCTACTCGCCAGTCAACCTGACCTGTAGGTTGTGTCATGTGTCACCACCTCTCCCTCACTGGACCCTGAAATGGCCAGAGGGTCTTGCCCTGAGAGATGACCTTTCATCCCTGGCTCTTGGGAGCTAAAGAACCACCCCCTCCTGGGAGAACAGGCCAAAGCTTCCTCCCCTCTGGGTGCTAACTCCTCTGTCTCTGCTCCTAGGCCAGGATCCCTCTGGAACCTCTGCCTTCCCGGTAAGTCCATCCCCTCCCTGTTCCCTCACCCAGGGCCTCAGTGACTCATGCTCAGGGCAGGGGCACCCTCCAACCTCTCAACACAGCACAGACCCCTTCCCCAGAACAGACAGCACTAGGGGAGCCCTGCCCTGGCCTAGTTGGGCCCTCACATCAGGGGTGGACAGGGCAGGGCCAGAGTCTGAGGGGAACCCTGGAGTCCCGTATGGAGCAGAATGGGCACTGGGAACACCAGTCAGGGGTCCAAGACTAACAAGGGTGAGGGGATGCAGTGTGGGCTGAAATTGGGGTGCTGGGCTACAGGTGTGAAGATAGCTGCTCAGGAAGCAGATCTGTCAGTCCTGCGGAGAAAATCCTCCCTCCCCATCCTCTGATGCCCTCTCTCCCTCCTGCACAGGGCCCCCTACCCGACCCCAAGACAACAGGCCCCATCTACGAGGTGAGTTTGGGTTATGAACATTCTGTCCTGCAGGTCCCAGGGGCCCCAGGATCTGCCCCCAGCCCAGCCTGGCTGTGCTTCCAGGCTCAGGAAAGGGCAGAAAAAAGTGATAACAGAGGGTGGAGGAGAAGTTGCCCGGGGACAGACACCCCAGCACAGTCAGCCCCCATGGCGCCTGTGAAACACGGCACGTGTTCTAAAAAGGCTGCGGGGCTCAGAGATCTCTCCTTTTTTCACAGGAATTACTCAACCCAAACACAGAGGTGTACTGCCGCATCATCCCCAGAGCAGACGTGGTTTCTTAGTTCCTCCAGGACCTGAGACCCAGACCCTGTGTATGTGGCCTGCACCAGAGAACCAGCTCTGAGCATCATGCTAAGTGAAACAAACTAGTGGGAGAAAGATAAATATCACATGATCTCACTC